GATGGACGTCCTGCATTCTGGCTAAGAACCTACGTGAGCTATGAAGTGCTATGAATTCTCCCACAATTTGCATGGAGTGTCTGATACTTTACTCCCTCTCCTTGTGCAGTGGGAGACGTCACAACACACGGCCAAACAACTGCTGGGCTTCAAGAGCTGGCAGCAAATCCAATGGGAGGGAAGAGACTCTTGAGGACTGAATGGTCACAGGTGAGCTTACAAGCCTCTGTCCACAACCTCCTTAAGCCCTGACACTGAACAGCTGCACGCACCTGGATAGCTGGGACCAGCGTGAAATAGCCAATCAAGATGATCCCAAGCTCTGTGGCCATGTTCTTCATAATAGACCAGCTCTCGTTGCTCAAGCCTGGAGAAAGAAAACATGCAGTCAGGTGCAAGGAAGAGACAGTGCTCACTACTCGCTGGAACAGGGAATTGGCACTCAGGACTCCTGGGTTCTATTTCTGCCCCTGTATGCCACCTAGGAGATGGGTCTGGGCCTTAGTCATGCTACCTGTGAAATGGGGATTATTCTGAGACTCAGACAGAAGGCAGCAGAGAAGCATTATTTTTCCCTGAGGTCAAAACAAAAAAGTCTCCTTTTCTTCCTTCTGAAGGGAGCAGATTGCCGCTGCTTTCCTGTGTTAACACACAGATCTGATCTGCACAGACTGTCTCAGCCAGCAAAGCTCCACGTTGATCCAAGCAGCTGGAGGACACTTCGTGGGATCTAGGAAGACGGTGCCTAGGACTGGAAGGGACCTTCTAGCCCAGTCACTTAGTCTCCTGCTGTCACAGACACCAGTACCACATAGCTCCATTTGTAGCAATCTCCACCTTAAAGCGGGTTAGGTTCCTCGCCCCCACTATCCCTACTGGAAGGCTGCTTCAGCCCCCCAGTCCTCTGATGACCAGAGACCTTTTAATTTCCAGACTGAGTTCATTTCTACATTCCCCACAAGGTCTCCCTGGGCAACACTGGCCTATTAAAGACATGGAGTCTGTCACACAAGCCATGGGACTGCATCTGCCTTGGAGGCAACACGTTGGCCGTCTCTGCTCTGAGTGGACATGGCAGCAGAGACCAACGTTAAGAAATGCCAGGCCTTTCCTATTGCTGGTGATCACTCTGTATTAGCTTACCTAGCGTGCACAAGCCAGGGCCAGGTCTGGGAACCCTAGTGACCAGGGGCCACATTTATGGGCTTTCGCTAGCTCTCGGCAGCAGCTGCAGTCACTATTAAAGACAGTCAATATGATTCCCAGCTCCAAATGCGGTCCTGTTTTCTCCCTTCTCAGACTACGTGTGACATTCCTTCCCAGCCCCCAGTCCCAGGATACCCTCCTTCAGACCGAAAGCAAACTTCCTCCTTCCCAGAGCTGTCAAATACCTTGCGCGATCCTCAGCTTCACTTCCAGGTCAACCGGTGTGGAGACAACCGACTTGGTGAGAACCAGGACATTCTCCAGCCCGATCACCACCACCAGGTACGGAAAAATCTCCCTGGGGGAATGTGAATGGAAAGGGAGCAGAGAGTGATGAACAGAGACGAGAAATGAGGCAGGAGCATGGATTAAGTGACAACCAAGGCCCAAGGGACTTTGTTCAGGCTGGAGTAACATCCTCCCTCAGACAATGCTAGTCTGGGAGCAGAAGAGAGGTGCTGACATTTTGTGTTTGCTGGTGAACTGGCCATTGAATGCTGTCCTTAACTCACACTGCGAGCGCTCCAAGGACTTGGCCTCCTGTGTGTGTTTGTACAGCGCATAACACCGCAGGGCCTGGATCCAAGGTCAGAGCTTTAAGCACTGCTGCAACGCAGTTAATGATAAACGGTCAGGGTTGCAGCCGGGCATCAGCATTACACCCCCTGCTGAGTCACAGGAGGTCCTCACGTCTGTCTAGCCAAGCCATGTCAAAGCTTCTCAGGGAGAGGAGCAGGGCAGGGCTGTGGGGCTGGGTGAGATGCCTGGGGGGCAGGTTGCAAACTCACCAACAAAAGTACCAAGCTCCCCACAAGGTGCAGATGCAGCTCCCGAATGGAGCAGGAACCCTTGTGTCCACAGGCCAGCGCAACCCCACGCAGGCTGGGCCAAAGTCAAGGCCCTACTGTACAGTGTCTAACCCACAGCTTCCCTCTGCTGAAGGAAAGCCCCGCAGCCTGGGTGATGATCCTCCACCCTGTCAAGGCAGCAGGGATCAGCCATCCAGATATCCTCATTCAGCCACCCAACTGCTCCCAGGACCCCAGCCAGCCTCCACAGAGGCATCCCTGCAGTGTGCAGCAGAGATGTAACCTGAACATGATTAGAGCAAACCTGCCAGAGAAGACTCTCATCCAAGGCTTAAAAAGATGCTTCCAATGGTGATTTGTCCTTTGAAATGTGGCACATGGCAAAATAAGCCCCTGTCCCAGGTCACTTGGGGGCTCTATTCAGCCCTCCTGCCTCCCCTGAAAAACCACCTGCTCACACCAGCCCAGGAAAGATTAATTCAGATGCCACCATCTTGTCTCAGCCACAGAAGTGAATGGCCACACTGCAAGCACCGAGAGGACCGAGAGGACCCAGCAGGAGAAAGAGCTGAGAAGGAAACTCAGCTCCTTGGCAAACCAGCCTTGGGCACAACAGTGAGACAGCAGTGCTGCAGCCAAATTAACCCTCTCTGCTTGCTGCACGGCCGGTCCCCATGCTGAGCCCTATACCCACACGTGCCTCAGTAATGCACAAGGATTTGGCAGCAGGTGCACACATACAAGTGAGAGCAGAAATGTCTCCTGCCGCTGTCTCTTGCAAGCTCAGACATTGCTGCTAAGAACATGATCTGCTCAGGGCTCCTGCTAACTCAGCTCTTTCACTCCGATCAATTCGTTAAACAAGGTGAAGCAGCTGCTGCTCTCTTGGAAAATAAGAGGCAGAACTCAGCCTGTGCCCTGGGCTCCCCTGCGCTGGCGGCTCCCATGACCTGCTGCAGGTGGGAGGAGGCTCTCGCTGAGCAGCCGGCTGGCCAATGAACTCTGCAAGGGGAAAAGGGCACAGCTCTCACACCAGCACAGGCACAGAGCAGGGCAGAGCAATGCACACACTGGCCCATCTGCTAGGCAAAGGTCAGCAAGGGGGGGATGCACTGGCTAATCTGCTCTCCTGTGCTGCCTGTGAGGTGAAGGCCACATTTTCCAGCTCCCCTACATTATGACACAAGTTTCCAGGGCTTTGCTGGGTGCCCCAAGGGGCTGGGAAGACATTTGTTGCTACAGGTGTCAGGGAGTTTTATTCACCTTTCTCAGAGCCAAAGCTGGGGATAGTGACTGGGTTGTGCCAACGTTCCTGCTGGGACTTAAAGCCGGAGATTCCTGGCTAGAGGGTCTTGTCCCTCTACCCAGGGTCAGACCAATGCCCCATACTCAAACTGGTACCAACTGAGGGGCTTTGCCTTCCTCTGTAGTGGGGGCATGGCTGGGATCTCTCAAATGTATTTTTAACAAACTCCTTCCTGTGCTTGCAGTGGCAGGACACTGGCAGGGCCCTGCTTTGCCTATGGTAAGCTAAGACATGTTTCTGGTGTATCGGGCGTTGTGCCTGGTAGTTGTGCCTGTGAGATTATTTCCAAGTTTTTAAGAGCAGGCCAGGTAAATACTTGTCTGGGATGTTTCAGACAGGACTGATCCTGCCCAGAGCAGGTGTCTGACTTCCTGTGGGCCCTGCCAGCCTGACTCTTCTATGCTTCCCAGGTAGGGTGGGGAAAAATGGTATGTAACAGATTTCTACTAGGGAGCTCTACCCTCCTCCACAGATTAGCTGTCCAGACTAGCCGTGGTCCAGAGGAAAACCCTGCTCGGTCATCTCCCCTCTCAGTGCACAGCCAAAGTCATTTTGCTGCACCTACGTTCTGAAGACGGGCCCTTCGGCTACCAGGGCACCTCGGCACTGCGGGCTGGTGGCGTCTTTGTTCAGAATTAAACAATGCAGAGGTTTCACTGCACTAATAAGGAGAGTGAAGAATGGACTCAGCTCCTGTGCTGTTTAGCTCTGTACGAAGCTCCATTCACTTTACAGAGAACTTCACTTAGGCACAAACCTGGCAGGGGCATCATTCACTTAGCTGCATACCTCAATGCCAACCCCAGTGTGTTGCCTTACACTGTAACAAGCCTTGGTTATAGGCACGTGGGTTAAAAGCACACACTGCTTCCCTGCATGGCAGCTGTCAAAAGGCTGCGGTTAGAAGGCTTGAGAAAGACGGGAAGAAGTTGGCTTCAGTCCACGCTCTACCACAGCACAAAAGGGCTGTGTATTTAAAGAGCAGTGTCTGCAAGGAGTTTGGCTAAGCTCATGGGCAGTCCTGCAGCTATGTACTCACAGCGAGTAAGGATGCTGTACTCCCTGCACTCTCCATCTCTCAAGATGCTGCAGAACTTTCTACCGACAGCACATTATTACGGCACAGAAGCCATCAAGGATAAGCTGAGGGGCAGCTGGGCCTCTGCTCATATGTGAAAGATGATGGGACTGCGAGAAAGCACATCAGCTCACTGCTTTTTCCTAAACCAATTAAATGGTTAATACTGGCAATACTGTAGTATCTTTAGGCCCCAGAGATAACAGTTCTTAGACCCACTGCTCAAAGCTGCCAGATTTCAGTTTTTGCATGTTTCTACATTGATCTTCAGGACTCTGCAGGCCAGGCAGAGCTTTTGGTAACTAAAGCTGTGTCTCTAAAGTATCGTCTGTGGATGGGGGTGGAAACGATGGCAAATTCCATCACTGCAGAACCACGAGCTATGTGCAGCTTTGCAAGTAACTAAAGGAGTGGGGACAGGGCTGATTAGCTTCTCTGTTTAAAGTGCCTAAGGAAAAGGAACCTGAGCTGCCACAGATCCATAAAATACCATTCCCCAGAGCTCCCTGCCCAGGTTTCTCTGGATGCCCTGGGGAATTACAGACCCCTATCTCTTTAGAAGTCTGCCAGCATGGCACCTCAGCTGGTCCTCTGAACAGATCTCATGAACTAACCACTGTTTGCACTGGGACAGGAGACAGCTCTCCAGAAAGAAAAGCTACAGAAAAACGCAGGGTTTAGCAGGGGATACTTCTCATTCTTCCAGATGCTGAGGAATGAGAAGACCTTGCCCCAGTGTGACAGGTGCTTCCTTTTGGGGTGGGACATTAATCTGGGCTCCTACCCACAGGTGATTACCATTAAACACTCCCTGGCATTTTTCTCAGCAGATGTGCCAGCCTGGTGGCTGGCAATTACACTACAGACTTCAATCCTCCCGCAGGTTTAACTGACTACAGTGCTCACTTCATTTTTTGCCAAAGCTGCGGTCTAGCAAGTGAAATAAATGCACACACACAAACAGCCTACAGGCACAGCGTCCACCCCCAGACTTTCCAGACCCAGAGAGCATGCTCTGCTCTAGTTATCAAAGGTGCTTCCATGAAGCAAGCTCATTTCCATCTCCCTGCGTGATCCTTTCAGACAGGGCTGTACGTGAGAAAAGCATTTTGGGCTCCCCTGAGATGGAAGGCACGAAGGAGAGAGGGAGTGAGACAGAAGACAGATGTCGGCAGGGCAGGCACAGAAAAATCCAGCCTGGCTCAGAAGTGCACCTGCTGATGCTCTGTACATTGGCTTCCAGATAAGCTGCACAGAAATCTTCAGAGGGCATCGGAGGGAAGGAGATAAGAGAGGCAAAATCATAAACTCTCACATCAGCCACATCCTACTTAACCAGTGGTTCCTGTTGCTACAGAAGGTAACTAATGGAGATACAGGACAGCTCCAGGCACTGAGATTAAACAGGTCAGTAACTGTTAATACTGTAAATAACTAACAATTTAAAATCCAAGGAGACATCCGTTTCTCTTGAATGATGGAAAAACAGGGCTAGCAGGTAGTCCAACCCCCTGCTCAACACAGGATCATCCCGTGTAAATGAAAAGGAGATGCGTACATGCTCCCCAAACACAAGCTGCTTGCCATCTATTAACAAGGCATAGAAACCCAAGCTCCCCAGCCCCCAGCAGTGGAGAGTCAGACTGCACAGGGCACTGCTGCCACACAGCACCTCTGAGGAGTATGAACAGGACTGAGAAATGGTCGAGGCTCTGCCATGCTCACACCTGTCTATGGAAGCACTGACATGGAGCTCATCGCTCCAGGTCAGAAGGTGCAGTGTTAAAGCCTGACCTCACGCCTGATAAAGCCAGTGGAAACACTCCCATTGACTTAGGTGGACCTGAATCAAGCGGAGGGCAACGGTGCTTCTCCAACCTCAGGTCTTTTGTTAAAAGTCATTTACTGGTTGATCCAACACATTCAGAGAGATGCCCAGTAATTACAGCAGAGCTCTACCAGCTTCTCTTCTCAGCCCTCCCACTGACTCTTTCTGGGCCTTAGCCTTCTCATCTGTAAAACAGGGACAATGCTGCTGCTTCCTACAGTTACTCTACTTCATTAATAGTCACAATGTGCTCTAAGATCCTCAGATGAAATTTGCCACTGAGGAGTAAAGGGCTACATGGGCTGCTGTAGATATTCCTGGGGTTTATATCACGATCTCAAAACAGCACCTTGGTACCTTACAAAATCCGTGAGAGAGAGAGGCTGATAAATAAATACAGGCCCTGCAAAAACACTCCTTTGCAGCCACCCTGCTGCAGAAATAGGCCAGGGTCACATGGAAGCTAGACCAAATGGGCAGGTCTGGTACTGCTTTCTGAAGCTCTGGCAGATGACCACTGGGAACAGATGTCCCTGAGAAGACCATGCCACCCATCCTGGAAAGTTCAATACCAGGTAATGGGAGGAAAGGTGCTCTGGGGAGAATCAAAAAAGGCTACAGTGAAAAAGCTGCTGTGGGTAACTGAGTCCCACTCCATTCCTGTGGGCATCTGCCAGGTCTGCTGGTATCATTTCCATCACACCCAGAGAACCCCAAACCTGTCTGCTCTTGACACGGCCTCACCTCTGACAAGTGCTAAGAGACCAGTGCTTCAGCGTGTGAGGAAGTGAAGACACAGCCCAGCACCGTTCAGGTCCTGAGAAGTCACAGCATCTCAGTATCTCTTCTAGTAACGATACACACATGGGGAGGACCAGAAGGAAGAGTGGAAATCCCAGCGACAAGAATACGTACCCCTTTAACACCCCTTGGGTATGGCAAGAGGAAGGAACTCCCCTGCCGACAGGCCACTGCTATTGCCAGCTCTGAGAAAACAACATGCAAACGTGTCCATCTCCATCCAAGATTTCATGGGCCTCTAGCAAGCAGTGTGTGTCAGCAGCCAGCAATGCAATCTACCCCTACACCTCCAAATGAACCGGAGATCACAGCCACCTGGGGAGTCAGGATGCAACTCCAGGTGCTCTAGCATGACCTTCCCCACAGAGACATCAGAGAACAGGCCACTGCTGACAAGGCTATTACGACCCAGGGATGAGTTTTTGAGCAAGTGCTTCGACACTGCTTCTCTACAGAGCACCTCTCTATCTTGGTAGACGTACAGCCCCCGTCCCTGCAGCAGAGACAGGTCTCCCACATAATTAAAAATGTAACTTTCAAAGCAAGTCCCAACCCTGCCAAGAAGCTGCCTATGGGCAGCCAAAGCCAATGAGACTCCTCGTGGAAGCAGCTTTTGAGGTCCGCTGCTCCCAGCTTCCCACACCTCAGTGGGCCAAGCACAGTGAATCCAAGAGCCAAAGCCTCCTGCCAGGGCCAACTGCTTGAGTCAGGGAAGGTATACCTTCCTGCCCTGGCATGCCAATCACAAACCCTAAGGAGGCAGGGGCAAGGGAAAAAGGTGTGTAGCTGCTAGACTGCTGGTATTGGCAGATAAAAGGCTGTCACACTGAACTGTCAGCAGAACTGGAACAACGGCTGTGCAGAGAAATGTCCTGAGCAGGCACGGAGCCCAGGCAGATCTGCTGGTGTTAGAGCAGGCATGGGTCCTGAGCTCAGCATGGGGGTGGGGTTGGTCTGGGCGACAGGATGTAGGGTGATCAGGAGAAGGCTTGGTTACAGAAACCTAGTTCCTAGAAACAAGGGTTTTTGGATAGACTCAGGGCTCAGCTGCTGTTTTTTGGATAGACTCAGGGCTCAGCTCCTCTTACCCCTTCCTTTAGCAGGAGCTTTGGCTGTAGATACATACCCTCCGTTGAGAGTCGGCGTCAGGCCAAAGAGAGTGCACAGCCCCACGGACATGAGCAGAGAGCTGAGCACTGTCACAACCGCTGCTAGTGCCAAGCCCCATTTTGATTTCACCATGTCGATCTTTCCTGCAAGAGAGAGCACAAGGCCCTGAAACCAGCAAGCAAAAACGGGCAGCAGGAAGGGATCCCTGGGGTCACCTCCTACAGCATGGAGCCTGTTAGCCCGAGGCCCAGTGGTGTAAGACCCGTATCCCAGCCTCAGGCTCTAAGTGGCTGCTGACATGGCAGCGCAGTACCACAGGACACAAGATGGATGTTTGGATGGCCCAGAGAACTTTATTCCAACTACCATAATGACCAGGCCACATTTGGAAGGACCTCTGAAAGTAGCCTCAGCTCACTGATAGGTTCTGACACCACAAACCCAAAACATGCATGAGACCTGAGACTTTCCAAACTGCTGACAGGTCTCCCCAGAGAAATGGAGAAAGAGCTGATATACTGGGACGTGTCAAACAACAAAGCAGAGTCCCATATGCTAAGCCATAGAGAACCATTATGCCTAGACTGAGGAAATGGCTTATTGGGCCTTTCCCTCTCTGGGTCCAAGTACTGCATCCCAGCTGGATTTCAGCTTCACTGGCTTGCAGGGCTGATAGGAAACAGCAGCACCACAGGCCTGGCTCTGCCCCCTCTAACACACAGGGCAAGGTGTAGTCTACCCTTGCCAGCCTCTCTGCTGGAAAGCACAACAATGGGATGCTAGCCTGACCTCCCTCCCTCCCAGGACCTACGCGTGGAGAAGTAGATGTAGGCGAAGAGGATGATGTAGGTGGTGACCAAGGGGATCAGCTCGGCGATGCCAATCTCTTCCTTGAAGTGGACATGCACGATGTTCTCCTCCCGCAGGGTGCAGTTGGGGCTGGGGTGCAGCAGCTTGAGCCGGGACCGGAGGCTGGTGAGGAACCTGACACAGGAGAAAAGTAGAAGGACTGGATCCTTGCTCAGTGCTGTACCCCTGGGGAGGATGGGGGAGAACAGTGGCTATGGGCCAGCTGGTAAAGCAGCCCTACAGACCTATACACTACTCCAGGGATTCTCAACCATGGTGCTGCTGCACCCCGGGGTGCTGTGAGATCCTTCCAAAGGTTCCACATAACTTTAGCACCATTCAGTGCGCAAACACCCTACACAATTCACACAACAAAGCTTTCACATCAAAGCTTTCACACAGGAATACAGAGAGTCAAAGCCATTCTGTCCTGTTGTGGGCTTGCTGCATTCTCTGCAACACAAGAATTGCTCTGGTATTCTTCCATAGTCAAAAACCAAGTGAAAGCTGAGAGCCGGCATTTTCTGAGCTGGGTCCTGAGTCTAATGAGGTTGAGGACACAGTGCCTCCCTCCATAGCTAGGCTCCTGCCCAGGCCTAAATACCAGGTCTGGATGTCTCCTTCCTACCTCCTGCAGCACTGAGGTGTTGTGACAGCCTTGCAAGATCTACATCGCCACCAAGCAGGATTCAAGGAGGGGCGCTGTGCAGGAACGAGCACCATTTGTTCCACACATGCAGAGCCATGTCTGGAGGGGTTTGGGTAGCGGTAGGCCCCTTGTGGTGACTGTCGCAGAGTTTACATAAGTGGCACTGATGAGTGGCGCTGACTGACCATCCTGGACATGGAGGCTTCCCCCCAGTGTGCCAATGTGCCAGCCGTTCCCTGGGAGAACCACCCATAGGGCAGAGAGGAGCATATAGAATGGGAAACTCCCTTCTTGAGAGCATGGAGGCAGAAAGGGATCTTGGAGTCATTACTGACTCCAAGATGAACATGGGCTGACAAGGCGAGGTCACGGTTGGCAGGGCTAACCGGACCTTGTCGTGCATCCACAGGTGCATCTCAAGTAGAGCCAGGGAGGTGATCCTCCCCCTCTGTGCGACACTGGTCAGGCCACAGCTGGAGTACTGCGTCCAGTTCTGTGCGCCCCATTTCAGGAGGGATGTGGACAACAATGAAAGGGTCCAGAGGAGGCCACCCGCATGATCCGGGGACTACAGGGCA